TTTTCCATTATCCCTATATATTCTCAATATAACCCCAACATATACCCTAAATAACCCATTATAGAGCTGAGGCGGATGTGAGTAGTATTTTATTCGGGGATTATATAGGGGTATAATATTGGGGTTATAACGGGATAATGGAAAAGAAAATGGAAACTACTATTTAGGTGAGTGGCCGAGCGGATGTAAAAGGAGTCACAGGCATACACTCCCCCAAACTAGCATGGAAACCCATATAGCCCCATTTTAGAGGGACTGTAGTCTTTAAAGGGCCCCTTTTGGGTTTCCATGTTAGTTTCCAGGAGTGTAAGTAGTCATAAGTCTAAACTCTGTAAAGGGGCATATATATAGGGGCTATATCTCGGAGTATCAGTGGAAGTAGTATAAGGGTTAGTAAAAGGGATACCAGGAGTTTACACAACGGCTCATAAGTGGTCATGGCCGCATGCAGTCGCCAGGTCGCATCTGGGAAAAATGGCGGAAGGCTGCCTGTTACGGTTCCGATAAACCCCATCTGGGGTTATATAGGGGTTTAGGGTTTAGGGGTTGTTTTGGCATAGTGGATAATGACATGGAAGCTATTATTTTGTAATAGGGCATAAATAAACCCTAAGCCGTAAGTGACCTTGCAGCCTTTGCAGATGGCACGCTGACTGGGCACGGGCTGCTGCGTGGCAGCCCTGCACATGCTGCTGGAGTTCGGGTTCCTTGGCCCTACTTCTATTCTTATTATTGTTATTACTATTCTTATTCGTATGATTATTTTTTCATATTATTACTAGTATTTGTATTAATGGGCCCCAGCTACTTTCCATCGTCTCCAGGTTCCTGACAAATTGGCAGTTTCCATGCATAGGGGGGGACAACAGTGTAGAACCCAACATGCTATGAGTATAACCCTTATTATAGGGACACCAAAAAAAGGTTATCCCTAATTTTGGGAAGCACCCACCTTAGGCTGGCTGGCAACTTGATCTTCAGAAAAGCTCGCAGCTGGCATCTCAAAAGCCCAATGGCAAGGCGTGGATGAGCGCTTGAACCTTGTAAGGCAAGCCTTGCTTTGTAGCCCTGCGCCCTGCGAGGCGAATCTTGCAGAGCTGCTGGATGGAGATTCGGCGCGCGTCCTTGTGTTCAGCCTCCCATCTACAGATGAGGAATGGGAGGAGAAGGCCATCAGACCACTGTTTCGTGAAGGTTCTCTGCTGGTACACTTTGTAGTGACCAAAGCAGTCAGTAACAGAACGGACTTATGTGGCAGGCTGCATCGGACTGGACGGAGCCATTCTTGCTGCCGGGGGCGGATGCTGTTGCCATCAGGTGCGTTGCTTTGCACGTGCACAAAGAGGCAGGTACAGCGGGCCCAGCTTTGTAGCTTTCAGGTGTGACAGCAGCTCAGGCCAGGGGTCGTAAACGTGTCAGAAATCCAAGAATTCAAGCCAATGGCAGCTGGCAGCAGGTGGCTTAGTTGATGAACGGCTCTTGATAGCTGTTCCAACAGGCTTGGGGGACAGCTTGCTATCGATTTCAGCTTCATTTTTCCAAGCACAGCTCTGGGAGCAGCCTGCTCAAGTGAGAAGCTGCTGTTGCGCTCCTGGTAGGCGATGATCTGCCCAAGCCAAGTGCCGAGCAGCTACAGAAGCTTGCAGACAGCTGTCGCCTCAACGACTTGGAATAGTTGGTGGCTGTCAATCTTAAGTTTGTTTTGAATGTCAGGCTGGGAAAGCGCTTGTGATCGATTTTACGGGCTGAAAGGTGAAGAGGCTGGGGCGTGGAGCGTAGGATTCTGGTGGTCCCCTTGCTACGCCTTGTCAAGGTAACGGTGGAGAGGGACAGCTGGGATGAAGTGAGGCTTCGGGCGCCCTGAACGCAACTTGTGCAGATTGTGTTGTTGAAATCCCATGTGCGCTTTCTCCTGGGGCCCAGGCCCTCTGTGCTCATCATGGTTGGGATTTCTCCTGGTCGCCTTGGCTCCTTTGTCATGAGCACACTAATTCTGTGGTACGGCCTTTACTTGGCAGGTCGGGTTAGCTTAAATGGGGTGTTGTTGTGAATGCGTCGATCGACGTCCACAAAGGGGAAATAGACCAGATCCATGCATTGAGGAAAATATGTGTGTGTACATATAAGTGTATTGTTGGACACGGCTTTGTTCATTTCAACAGCGTCTGCAAAGTTCTGCACATGGACAAGTATGACTGTCCTTCCAACAGTTAACAATGACTATGCTGGGAGACATGGCAAATCAGGGGCGGTAGGAGATGGTAATTAGAAGTATCGGCTTGGGTCGGACATCATGTGTCTCTTATGGAAAACAGCTGCCCGTCCCCATATACCAAAGCACCCATGCCTTCCCATACCCTGTCTCCACCTTCTAGTATCTGAGACCAGCGCCTACGAACGGGAAAAGCAGCTTGAAATCCTTGCACAAAATATCAAACCTGAGCGTCTGCAGCTGCACAGGCAATTTTGTGTTTTTGCGCTGAGCTGGAAGCAGCGGTTTTTATGGGGACTAGCATTTCTGATGTGTAGAGACCTCAATGATGTGTATTCTTGCCAAACCCAGCGCCTGGAGAAGATGATGTGAGTTCTTGCCACGCCGATCATGGTAGTTTCCATTTCATGTTCCATTATCCCTTATACAAGGCCAATAAAGCTGCAGTTTCCATTTTCTTTTCGATTACCCCTAAACCCTAAACCCTAAATAGTAGTTTCCGTTTTCTTTTCCATTATCCCCCATATAACCTGGCGGCCAGGATGACGGAAGATGACGAACGCCGGAGACGCATTGTGGAGGCCAGCAGATCACGAAGGCCAACATTGGAGATTTTTCGTGTGCCCCTGATCAGGGAAGCTGAAGGATGCAAGGAAGGCAGCCTGCATCACATACTATAGTATAGTATGGTATCTTATAGCCTATTATAGTCTATCATTGTATTATTGTACTCTTTCTAAATCTTGACTCAACTAGCCAAGAGCAAGGCAAAGCGATTGAGGTCAAGGCCATGCATTTTCAGTCCACGTATTTGCAGGTTTTAGTTTGGAACGTTCTGGGCTCGAGGAGGATTTAGGGACTTCTCGAAGCGAGGCCTAGCAAGCGAGATGATGTGAACACCGCAGGACCTGAGACGTCAGAGATGATCTGCTCGGCAGTCTCGCCGACTGTACATTAGCTTGTTTGCGCACCGCCGAAGATTCCAAAAACTTGGATCTTTGGCCGGAACGTAATTGCAATGCTTCGCTTTGGAAAGGTTCAAGCGCATAATTCTGGCCATGATCCTTTTTCTCACTGCATCTTTTTCCCAACTCATCTCTGGCCTGCTGCTGGTGTTGGCCCACAGATGATTGCTTCAGTAAACACGCTCGGCACCCCGGGCCGGGCAGTGGTCCAGTTCTCAGAACTTACTGGTGTGTAGTAGGGAATAAGGGAATATGAGTCTTACATAATCCTCAAAATACTATAGAACCCTTGTTTAATACCAATATACTATATGGGTGGTTATCAAAATTATGGTCCCTTTTTGGGTCCCTATTATAATACGGCCCCTAATATTTAGGGTACCCAAAAAGGGACCATAATATTGACAACCACCTATATTCCCTTATTCCCTACTAGTCCCCAGACCCTAAACCCTAAACCCTAAACCCTAAACACTAAATCTGTGAGACCAAGCCCAGGCCAATTTGTCAGCTCTGCTCAGGTTGTGAACTTGCACCCCGTGGACCACCATGGGTCAGAGGAGCCTAATTACCACTCTTATAGGGATTATATAGGGGTTCTATAGGGATATATAGGGTTTAGGGCTTAGGGTCTATTTTTGGGAGTTTCCCAAAATTAGGGGTACCTTTTCAGGGGTCCCAATAATAAGGATTATCGTATTTTGGGGTCTATATTGGGGTCCCCTCATTTTCGGAAACTACCAATTACCACTCTTATGCTAGGGCCAGTATCGACTGTGAGGATAGCTTGGAAGTATCGACGAGCTCTGAAGGTAAATCCTCAAAGCAAAGAAACAAAATCCCAATCTGCAAAGTCCTGGTTTATCCAGCTTCGATGTGGCTTGCTGGTTGTAATGAATGTGTTATGTAACGACCCGCTCGCCTTGCAATATCGCAAAGACAACAAGGGAAAGTAGTGCTGTGATAGAAATCAGTTACTCGAGCAAAAACAGTAGCAGCCGGAGATGGAGGGTTTTGGTGGTGGTGGTCGGCCTCGGCGGCAGCGGTGGTGGTGGGTTTTGCTGTTGCTGTTGCTGGTGTGCTGTTTGCTGGTGTGCTGTTTGCTGGTATGCTGTCCCTGTCAGCTCTCTTACCGCTGGTGCAGCTGCTGGTAGGACACAGCGACGAAGATGACCTGTGCCAAAGAACCCTCAGAGGTGCACATGCAACGTGTACTGTAGGCAGATATGCATCCTGAACTATCCGCAGGTCCCACCACAGCAGAAGTCAGATGAACGCGGCACCCAGGCGCAGCAAGCGACTGGAAGCCTTTCCGGAAGCTTTCTTGAATGTCGATTGGCAATGACATTTGCGTGGAGGGTCTGATGGTTATCGACCTGGCCTTGGAGTTGCATAGAAGAGCGAAGGACCCCTTGGGGTTTAGGATAGATATTGGTGCTTTATCGGGGATAATGGAGAAGAAAACGGAAACCACAAGGGTTATAGGGATTATATAGGGTTTATGTAGGGATTCTAGGAGGTTGAAGGTTGCCTACAGCCTGCTTGTCTCCACAAAGAACAAAGGAACTCTTTCCATACTGGTGATACTTAGAATATCTTAGAATCTTGCATGACCTTGGTATACTATAGTCCCATAAGTCCCAAGGCATAGGCTCATTATAGTAGTTTCCATTTTCTTTTTTCATTGTCCCTATAGAGCCCCCATGTATACCCTATAATCCCTATATAACCCCCAAATAGCCCCTTAGTATAGTATAGGGTATTCAGAGTCATGCGGGCTTTTCTTCATCCACTGTAGTTGCAGGACTTCGCACTGGCAGGCGACACGATACGGGCAAAGGCGTCAGGCACCCAAGCTCCGGAGGCTACTGCTACTGCTACTGCTGCTGCCACCAATAGTAAATGACGACAAGCTACTGTAGCAACATGTAATAAGACTAATAATGATAAGACCGTAGTATAAGAATCACAATATGAATGATAAACAGGATGTGAATGATGCATCATATTTTTTAACGTGAGAGATGATGGGAAATCATACATATTCAATGCCGTGACAATGACAGTAACCCTGCGCTCAACCTCCGCAGCTTTGATTCTTGAGGCTAGTCGAGAGTAGCATTGATCAGCTGGTGACTGTCCGCACCTCAATGCAAGGTCCTGTCATCTGAGCTCCTAGTATCCCTCTTAATAACCCTTGTAGTATGGGTTTCAGGGTTTAGGGTCTAAACTCCTAGTATCCCCCTTAAGAACCCGTGTAATGTAGGGTTTAGGGTTGAGGGTCTAAATATCCCCCTCAAGAACCCTGAATAACCCTGCTTCAGGAGTTGAGACTGTAGCTCAGGTGCTATTATTTTATCGTCTGTTAATATTATCATTATGATGATTCTTACCAAGCAATTATCAAACGAGGACAATTATAGTGCTCAAAGAGGCCCTACACCCTAAATCTCAAACCCTAAACCCTATATGGTAGTTTCCCAAAATAGTGGAACCCCAATATAGAGCCCAAAATACTATAGTCCTTGTCATGGGGACACCCAAAAAGGGTACCCCTAACTTGGGGAAACCTCACATAATCCCCTTTATACCCTCTTCGGTTCCAGTCTCCTCTGCCAAGGCCAAGAACCTCGTGAAGGGCGGACGCATCCCGCAGCTGCTCGAGGGCCTGCTTGAGGCCTGGGGCTTAGGGGTTTGGGGTTTAGGGTTTAGGGCTTAGGGTTTTAGGGTTTAGGGTTTAGGGTTTAGGGCCCTCTATACTACCCCCCCCTAGGTTCCCCTCTGAATTAAGGTTATTTTGGGATAATTAGGCTTAATGAAGGTCAATTAAGCGAGGCCTTCATCCCAACTCAGTGGAACAGTCATCCTAGTCAGTGGAATGGTAGGTAGTTGCATACTTGAAAATGATTTGACAACTCCTGGAAGGCTTGGCACACAGAAGGCATTGTTCTGCAGGCGCGCAGGATGTTGACTCTGCAGGTGGATGAACCTTTGATGCTGTCCCAAGGCCGAGGACCATGATACTGTAGCAGAGCTTGAGCACTGCGTGGCAGAAGCGCTTCGCAAGGCTTACCTCATTTTGCTCATGGGCTTCAGCTGTTCGGGGTTTGGGAGCGTCATCTCGATTAAGACTTGGCCGTGGAGCGCACGAGGTCTCGAAGGCGCCAGTGGTTGCTGCTGCCGCTGCCAAGCTAGTGCTTGGAGGCGTGAACTGCTCCTTTTGGGGAAGAGGGAGCAGCATGGAGCAGATATGAATACTTGCAGGACTGTCAACTGTTGTGCGCAGGTTGTGGCACCACACCCAGCACAGCCTCTGATGCAACGTCAGCAAGAGGCCACGACTTGAATTGAATCAACAAATCTGATCCGACTATATCCCATCGCCCCCTTTTGCCTTGGTTCGCATCACTATGGTTTTTTTTTTAAAGTCAGGAGTACCATTTTGGGGGTACCTATAATAAGGACTCTAGCGGGGGTCTATATTGGGCTCCCCCTATTTTGGGAGATTACCTTATGTCGCACAGGCGAATCGATTCCGATTGACCCGAAGAGCGGCGGTCTGCTCAATGCGGCAGCTGCGGCTGCTGAAGCCCAAGCCTTATATCATTATTACCACTACTATACCATTATTGTTATTATTATTATGAATCCTGCAAATACTATTATGAATGCTAGTATTAATACCTTAGGCAGGCAGGTGGAATTTATGTCATTTGATGTGTTAGCATCGCAAGATATCGCAAGCAAGTTACCTCCGGGGGGCTGAGGCGCGGGTCGTGGATGACGGTGCCAGTGGTGTGGATTGGGATGCAGGCGACATTGCTTTCAAGTTGCCTTCTGATAAAGAAGCAACGCTGACAGCTGCTCACACGGCTTGATACACGACACAAGCAGCAGGACCACAACAAGGGATATGCATCTGGCAAGGCTTGCCTGTGCACTTCATGCGCACTGCTAAGTGCAGGCAGCAGTATCTCCTCCCAGCAACCGACACCGGTGGGCTCACCTAGGAGTCCACCCTCGGAGCTGGAGGCCAACCCTTTGATGCTGCACGTTGAGCTTTTCGGATTCGTGAAAGCCGAGGTGGCTACAGAGCCAGCCAAGAATCTCCCGCCCAGCAGCTGCCGCCTGGAAGAGCATGCCAGCGAAGCACAGGCCGAGTCCGCACGCGCTTCGCGCTTCCTTCAGCCTTTGGCCTTTAGCTCGCGTCTCTGTTGAGAGGCGCCGGGCTCTCAGCCTGTCCAGCACCCGGTTTCTGCATCCCTGGCCCAGCTGTTTTGCCTGCCTCAAAGCCGAGGTCGCAGAGGAGCCTTTCTTGGATAGGACTCCAGGAGGAGGAGCATCCCTGGTCCCCGCTCTGAGCTTGGAGTTCAGCTGCGCTAGTTGTCAAGTGCTTCCAGAGCTACATGCCTGAGGCCGGCGCGCCGCTTGCGGGATGGGGCCCCTGCTTATTTCCACTGCAATTCTTTTCATCTGCCGCCACAGCTTACACTCTTGGCTTCAAGTTCCTTCATTCAAGGACAGGCGAACACCTCAGAGGTGGTTCTTCCCTGGCAGGCGCGGCGCAGCTGCATGCCAGGGCATATCAGTATATTATAGTATATTACAAGATATTGTGGTATATCATATATAGTATATCATAGCACATAAATGTATGTTGTCATTCTTGTAGTTTTACACTCCATACGATCCACTCTTCGTGGATCAACGAAGGCCGCCAAGAAGGCGAAGGGCAAGTGGCCGAAGCGTGGAGCCGGCTCGGAGACGCGGAAGCTCTTGCGAACCTCTGGAACAACTTTGCCGCTGTGAACCCTCAACCATAGGTATCTAGGAACATACATACATACATATATATATATATGTAGACATGTATATATAGGGATATGCAATACTGCAGGATCCGATGGAGCATCAAATTCAAATCGCAGTTTTTTTAGTAGAATATATTACAAAATACGATAAAACTACTATAGTCTATGATAATCTACTACAATTTACTATAATCTACTATAATATATTAAGATATTACAATATACTACAATATGCTATCATATGCTAGTCCTGGTTGCCAGGTTGGCTCTTCGGGCTCTGTGGCTTCAGCAGACATGCTGCAGGTCAAGGAGATCCTTCCAAGCTGAGATGCCTGGCACCTAGGCCCCTGTCTATAGATCCCTAAAACATCCTAAAACTTTGGGTATAGGGTTTAAAGCCACTTTAAAGAGATCCAGTTATGAGTAGTTACGAAGTCACAAAACCCCCTTATGTAAACCCAAAACCTTCTGCCATTCAATTCCCTAAACCCTAAACCCAAGAATGAGCTTTCACAGCAATGCAACGCCCACCTGTCTTTGACAGAGAGCCTGCTTGATTTTTGGCGAGGTTTGGCTGATTATCGCATGATGGCCGTAAAGTTATAGTATATTATAGAATATTGTAGCATATCATAGTGTATTATGGTATTTTGTAGTATATTGTAGTATGTTACAGTATATTATGATATATTGTAGTACATTATATACAGTAGGATATATTGTAGTACATATATACAGTAGGTTATAGTACATTATAGCATACTATCACATTTTACAGTATATTTAGAATATGTCATGGTATACCATTGTATACTATCACTGGTTTTAATACATTATAGTGTTTCATATTCTCATATATCGTAATACTTAAAGTATAGAGGGCTTGATCCAGCTCCGGGCGCCCAAAACCATAAACCCCAAACCCTAAACCCAGGCGCTTGGCTTAC